CGCCGGCGCCCCATAGGCACCCCTTAGAGGGATGCAACAGTTCGCCACTTTTCAACACCCTTCGTAAGGAAGCACTTCCGCACCTCGAAGGGCGATGAAATTCACCATGTTTATTCTCAACGAGGTTTACGAGCGCGTAAACCTCGAAACCAAGCCAATAAACCACGTTTATTTATTACCCTAAATTCTCAGAAATCGACGTGTATAGTACATAATAAAAATATGTAAAAAAATGAATCTTACCACTACGGTGGTACTCTTGCCACTACGGTGGCAAGTAATGGCTCAGTAATCGTTCTAAAATAAAAGGTCAATCTCACCTACACTCCGAACTCTTCCACTCAATTACATAGCAAGAATTAAGCCGTCCGCTTTGGAAGGGCGTTCTTCCAACACACTCGATTGAACATAAGGAAATACCGTTTGCGCAACGCGACTGTGTGAGACACGCTTCAGTCGAGGGACGCGAGAGTAACCGTAGCGAGGTACAAGGAATGGTTGGTTGCGTAACTCCAGGCGCTCCTGAATGCCGGCTCCGTCCGGCCCACTTAACACTCTTTCAAATCTACTCCGATTTGACAATGAAAGCGTGATTCAAAATATCCGACTTTTTGTGGACCTGTTAATAAAGCATTCGCTCGTCCGAATCCATGAACGGCGTTGACGTAGGATTACTCGTTCACCTGGTACACAGGCCTAAACTCGCGGGTGGGTTTTCCAAAGAAAACGACATTTTCGTATTTTAATGCTATCCACGCGGGGAAAAGACATCAAAACTGTGTCACTCCAATGCCTTGGACCGTATCACATGTGTTCCACGCAACGAAATATCGTTCCAACCCCTACACCTGTGGGTGGACCACCCTTAACTCTGGGCCACCTTGTTCAGCTCCAGGGGCAGTTTTCGAAACGAGCTTTAAATGACATTGATCCTTAACGTACCGAGAATAAACATGGTGAATTTCATCGCCCTTCGAGGTGCGGAAGTGCTTCCTTACGAAGGGTGTTGAAAAGTGGCGAACTGTTGCATCCCTCTAAGGGGTGCCTATGGGGCGCCGGCGTGAGTGTTGGCATTTCCTGGATCAGGAGATTCCAGAGAATGCATTGAGCCCAAATTCGGGGCTATAGTCCAAAAATTGTGGATTTTGGAGGGGGTGGAGTGTTGTGAGTGGTGGATTTGCCCGAGAAGGATTTTGAGGGGTGCATTTTGTAGAGAGCATCGAGGAGAGTCGCCCCAAATGTTTTTTTTTATTTTTTCAACCCCTTCCGTCACCCCTGGCCCCCTCAGAAGTGTCTTTTTTTTACGTGCTCCTCTTTACGGGGGCGAATTAACCCCTTCGTATCAACCCTCACCAATGCAACTTTGCACACATTTATAGAACACTTCAAAACTACTACTCACGAAGTTTCTTCAAAATCGGTTGAAAACTCCCATAGATATGACGTTTTAAAATAGTGTCCCTTTAATTTTGTCCGTCAGTGTAGAAGACGATTACCTCGAAAGGACTACCACGAAACGTCTCATTTTCTTATGAATATCATAAATTAATATAAATCGAACTATAGCAAGCAATGCATGCACTGACTCCATTATGCACTACTTACATCCGATTTACATTGGGCAAAAAAAGTCTGCGCACGAACACGCGCAATTGTCAAAAGAGTCTAAAATATGTTTAAAAATTAAAAAAAAATGCTATTTCTTTATAATGAAATGCGGAGTATACAACTTTATATCATATCGTGACAAAAGTTCACACAAAAAATGTCTACGTACAAAGATTCTCTTATTCAGGGTTTCCCAAAAGTCGGGGAGGAGCCGGAAATGAGGGGTAGCTGAGACGATTCTGAACAACAATTTCCATTGCAAAAATGGTGGATGGGGCTATCCTTTGTTGTCCGCTAAGCGCCATACCTGAGTTTGCTCGGCTGCCTACGGTCGCAAGGCCGGTGCCCCATCAATTGTTCACAAAATCAAATTCTGTGCCCTTCATTGAATCAATGGAAAAGATGTCACCAAAGAATTTTCTGGTGTTTTCTTGATTAAAATGATACCTAATGTCACATAAATCAGACTATTTCCAACTCAGATAGCTTCTGATTGTGCACTTCTATTTTTCAAGCAATTCCGTTCATTTTATTATTGTCGAATTTCTGTCGTCTTCGTACATTTGTATAATACATTTTTCTTACATTTATGTATGCCCCGCATATAATTAATTATAATTATTCATTCTTTCCGTATAGCCGGCAAGTAAAAAAAGCAGCGTGCCTCGCGGTAAGTCGAAGTACCGCGGAGGAAACAGGTACTTCGTACCAAATATTCCAAGAGGATGAAGTTCCTGCTATGTCAGGACATGAAGAAGTAAAAACTGTCGAAAATATTGAAATTACTCAAGAAATTACAGAAGAAGTAGATTTCGAGGAAAACGAAAAGATGGATGTAAACAAAAGCGAAGAAGAAAGAACGACACCAGTGACGAAAGGTATAAAACCTGGTAGCCAGCTGCGAAAGACCTTTCGTAATGGACATCGAGGAAGAAACGAATGAAGATATCGGAAATTCGATGAATTACGACTGTAATTATGTGGTAGAGCGAGCGGAACCTCAACAGTTGAAAAATTCAATATCCAGAGGTATAGACTTCGCTGATTTTGCGTATGTTTTCGAACAAATAAAAAATTTGCAAAATCATTCGACTATAGGCTGTGGCATTGAACATTTTGACATAATTGGATGTCAACAGTATGGATTGGAAAAAACGTACAATGTTCAATGCCGAATGTGTAATCACGTGGAGCGTATATCCTGTCTTCAGCAGAATCATGGCAGCATGGATATCAACCACGCCGCTGTTTCCGCAACAATGGTGACGGGCGGCGGATACAATCAACTGGAAGAAGTAATGTCTGCTATAGACGTGTCCTGCATGACGAAAAGAATATATGAGAAATGTCAGAATGACATAATCGATGCCTTCGAAGTGGCCGCACAACGCGAAATGGAAGATGCAGGAAGAGAGGAACAAGAATTATCCAGAGCAAGGGGCGATATAGTTCCAGGAACTGATATACCGTGGATATCAGTTATCGTGGATGGCAGCTGGATGAAGAGGTCATACCGCGGAGGTGATTACAATTCCCTTTCTGGGGTAGGAGCCATTGTGGGATACCACACGAAAAAAGTATTATATATCAGCGTGAAAAATAAATTTCGCCTGATTTGCCAAAGAGCGGCGAAGAACATGGAAGAAGCACGCGAGCATCGATGCTTTAAAAACTGGGGTCGTAACCAGAATTCGACTGGGATGGAAAGTGCTGCTATTGTGGAAGGATTCAAGTGCAGCATAGAAATGCACGACCTCATCTACTCTATACTTGTTGCCGATGGCGATAGCAGCGTGTACAAGAAGATATTGGACAATGATCCATATGAAAAGTACATGGTGCGTGTACGAAAAATAGAATGCACCAATCACCTGCTTCGCAATTTCGGTAGAAAAATTACCGATATTGTAACAAAAGACCGCCACAAGGAGCTAAGAGCTATCGTACAGCAGAATGCTATACGCTTACGTACAGGTATCAAGAAAGCTGCAGAATACCGATCAAAAGAGAAATTAAGACTCGTTGAACATATACAAAATTTGAAAGAAGATATGAAAAATGTACCGAGTCACGTTTTCGGGGAGCACAAGGACTGTCAGAAGTTAGCATACTTTTGTAAGAAATACTCTGACCCCGACAGAGTGAATTATATTCCAAAGTTGAAAGAAGCCGGTATATATCAAAATATCGAAGAAGCGATGCAGCCACTTTTCGCTAAAGCTGAAAGTTTGCTGTACGGTCTGAATAATAATGCTGTTGAAAGCTCTAATAATATCATTGCCAAATTTATCGGAGGTAAAAGAATAAATTTTGGACGAAGAGGCTCGTATCAGGGCAGAGTCAACGCTGCTGTCGTCCAATTCAACACGAAAGGGACGTACAGCAAATTGAGTATGGCAGTGGACGAAGAACCGACAACCATCGTAAGGAAAATGCCAATATATCCCACTTAAAAAATAAGCAACAATCTTGCGACCAGAATTACGGCCCCAACGCAGACAAACCCAATATGGAAGATACTGTATATTCTGCCGAGTATAAAAGGCACATGGATATACTCCATGAATGGCAAACGATGCGGCACACGATAGAAGCAGAAACTCGAGATCAAGCGGAAAGCGAGAAATGGATAGCTTATAGGAGAAAATTATTAACCGAATCCAATTTCGGCAAGATATACCGATTACGAAAAGATAGACCGCGATCAAATACTTTGAAAAGTATAATGTATCCGCAAATACCGAATCTACGATGCCTACAATACGGAAGGGAGAACGAGGCAAACGCCTTGAGGCAACTGGAAGACGAATTAGGAATTCATATTCGACCATATGGCCTCTTCATCGATGCCGTTGTGCCTTATTTAGGTGCAACTCCTGATGGCAGCGTAGACGATGATACCATCGTCGAAGTAACCACCACCACCATTAGTATTATCAAGTGCAAGGACAGCTGCATATAACAAATAGACAATATTGTCTATTTGGTTTATGGACGCCGAAAGGAGTAAAAATTATAAAAGTATCAAGAAATGATCAATTTTGGGCAACACAGATGGAGGAAAAACTCAAGAAGTTTTATAAGGACTCTTTGTTGCCAGAGATCGTAGATAGCACATTTAATCGATACCAGCCGATTAGAGAACCTCCGTATGTAAAAATAGGCGGAGCATCTACGAGTACCAAATGAAAATCTATATAAAAATGTACATATGCACCTGCGTGTGCATTAGCGAGTTCAAAAGCTGTATAAAATAATGTACATATGCACCGGCGTGTGCATCAGCTGAATCCATAAAGCTGTGAAATAAGCAATGTTCCTGACCGGTAAGTACGGAAATAGTAAAATGTACATATGAAAAGTGAAGATGACCGTCTATGACAGGGTTGGTAGTGGGACTCTTCAAACTCTCCTATTAATAATTTTTAGTTGCAGCTATTCTTTCAGTTCAATGGGAAATGACATCTATAAAAGTGTAAGTATGACACTTATACTTTTGTTTTGAAAATAATTGGATTAATTGAAAATAATCTTCAGTTTTTTGTTAATCTAGAAATTTGCTTCATTTATTTCCACTGACTAGTATCAAAGATGAAAACCAAGCTGTATGAAGCAAGGAAAGAAAGCAAGTATTCGAAATGCTTGGATACAGATAAGTAACTAACATACACACATTTACAGTCTTATTGTATACAAGTTGATTACAATTCGTTCTAACTTTTTCTGACAGGTTCTATGACCACAAACTATAATCGAAAGGGGTCAGCGATACTGCAACAAAATATTTATCAGAGATAGGGAACACTCGTAATGGGTTCTTCAGGATACGTAGGTATCAGTTTTTACATTCAATTAGTATAAACTCAAAAAGTAATTTGTATTAAACTTCTTTATTTTTATAGATGAATCTAGAGTGTACAGCATGATACTTCAAGACATGTATTTGTCGTCCGACAATTGTATTAATTGAAAATCACCATATATACGTAAAGGAAAGAAAGTAAGCCTTTGCAATGCATGCATGCTTATATATAACTAACACATATATATTAACATGTTTATTGTATACTGAGTTATTACAACTTGTTCTAACTTTTTACCACAAGTTCTACAACCAGTAACTTGCAACAAAATATTTCTCAGAAATAGTCAACACTAGTAATGGAGACTTCAGAAAATGTAGGAATCAATCTTTACATTCGAGTGGAAAAGTACTTGTTATTGACATCTATGAATTTATTTGAATTATTTTTAGTGACTACTATCAATGGTGAAAATCGTGCTCTATCAGGAAAGGAAAGGAAGCAGGTCCTTGCAGTGTAACCATAAAGATAAGTAAATCATGTACACTTACATGTTTATTGCACGCAGATTGATTGTAATTCATTCTAACTTATTATTGTAGGTTCTATGACAATAAAGGAGTCAGTACCATTGCAAGAAATATTTAGAAGAAATAGGAAACTAATAGTGGATTCATCAGGAAGTGTAGGTATCAGGTTTTACATTAAAGTAGTATAAATTCAAAAAGTACTTATTGTTAAACTCATTTATTCTTACAGATGAAACTAAGGTGTACAGCGTGACAGTTCAAGAGATTTTATACATTCCTAATTGCAACTATTATAACGTAAACACATTTCGAACAATTAAAATGTATAATTAACTTTTTACGCTTGCACTATCAACGGACTCCCCGTTTAAATCACTTTAAAATTACTACGCGGAGCATTTAAAATCACTCAAGGAAGAAGTATACAGTATATGTTGTTGAGAACAAACTATACTGTATGGCAATAACGAGCAGCTCCATATAGTTTTCCTCCGCTGCTGCATATCTAATGGTAATACCATTTCTATGCAGAGAGTAGCTACTGTAATACCGACCTGCCCCCTTAAGACGGCCGAGGCGGCTTTGTAGTGTCGCAAGTTAATCTGCGAACATCTAAGGCCGTCCCCTATCACGTTGGTAGGGACCATGCCGATCCTCGCTCGTTGACGTGTCGGGGAGTATAGGGGGTCACGGTTACTGGCCATCCCCCCCCCCTCTATTCCTCTCCGCCTCCGGCCTTCTTCTGTGGATGCCCTAAGAGGGTCTTCTGTGACGCTCTTTGAGTCTCCTCTAGGCCCTTCGTAATCAGGGCTTGGTTCTTGGAGGGCCTACCCCTGCCCCCCCCCCCCCCCGCGGGGCCCCTTCGCCCCCCCCCCCTCTCAGGTGCGGGTCCCTTTCCCCTCGAAGGGCCGGCTTTTACCGCCACCTTCGAGGATTCGGGCCCCCCACTGAGGGGGACATTAGTACCTCTTGGTACTACGGCTACCGGGTTCGTGGCCGGTGGTCCAGGTTCCGATGAGACCTCCATCGGTTCCCCAGCCCCGGTTCCACCCCCCTTCGCCGGTTCAGCCCCCCTTCGCCGGTTTCGCACCTTTGTGCGAGGGTCCCCCGGTCCCCACCCCGGTACAGGTACGGGTCTCATAAAAATGAGCCCTTCCCAGCCCGCAGTGGGGCCTAAGCCTCTCAACCCTTAAGATTTTAAGGGATTCGGCGTCTACGCTGTGCACCGTGTGTGTAGCGCTGTCGACTACCTTCCTGTCCCACAGCCTCCATAAGGAGGTCCGTAGGCCAGGGTTGGCATGTCTTAGCTTTCTCAGGATGACCTCGGTGCTCTCCACCATCATGGGCAAGACCGCTGTCATCCTGCTGAGGCCTCATCCTCCGAGCAGGTGATTCACAGGAGCCCCTGCTTGAACTTTACTCCCTCAAAACGAGGGGCCTTCTCCTCTGCATTTTGGGCCTCCATGAGCCCAAGCTGCACCTGTTTTGCCTTCCCTTTGGTAAGTAATGGCTCGGGATAGCCGGAGAGCGCCACAGCCGCTCTCCTGCCGCCCTTCAGCGCCTCGGCAGACAACTTTACCGTTTTTTCAGGGCTTAAGAAGGGGTCTCTTCATCTGATCTGGGCCTTTTCAAGCCCTGATCCTGGACCCCTTCCGAGTTCCCTGCCACTTCGTCCGAGTTAGCTGCCTCAGAGGCCGACAAACGCTCTGCCAATTTGGCTTTGCGCGCCTTCCTCTTAGTGACTCCACTCTTCTTCTTCCACGTGCGTTTGGTGTCTGTGGATTCAGTAGTCCCAGTCGGTGCCGAGCCCTCCGTCTCCACAGATGATTGTGGTGTGGCCATCGACAGCCCTCGCGTCAGCTCGGTAAGTATCTCGCTAACACAGAGGTCCGCCTCAACCACACCGGGCGTAGTCGAAGGCCTTCCTGTCGGAGTCCCTTCGCGTAAATATAAAAATAGAACAAAGGGTGTAATAGAAAAAGCATGTGGTTTCATAAAAATCCCACGAGAAGGCAAGAAATATTCTCTCCGCCCCCGCAGAGATTGCTTGCGGGTGTAAGGCTAAAATACAATAGGGTTTTGCCTGGTGCCCCAAGGGCATCGTTCACGATACCGTCACCCCGGTGCCATCCAGCCCTCGGCACGATAGCTTACACCTTGGCTTGGGGAGTTAGTCCGCGGCGGGGTCTTGGTTCCCCTGGGCCGGGTTTTACGCCTGCCGGGTCCCTTATAGCCCTTACTGACCCTGCCACCTTGGCCTCCCCGACCGAACGCGGCTTCAGATCCGCACCTCGGTACGGGTCTGACTTCGGCATCTCTGGCCGTTTCCCTATCCGCCACCCGGGGACGCGCCCGGAAGGCACTCAACCTTATCCTCTCCCCCCTTTCAGGGGTGGGACCGAGAATATCAGATGAATATGTATTTTAAATTGGAGAAAAAATATATTGTTGCGAATATTAAATAAATATGTATTTTATATTTGGGAAAAAATATTCCATTCTAAATAATGAATAGGTATTCATTTTATACTTAAAAAAAAAAAATATATTTTTGTCTAAATTTAGAATAAATATCATATGTATATTTATCCTGTAAAAGATAATCGGTAGCGCCACGTTATACAAGGTGGCAGTATAATTTTTCATGAACTTGGCTTTGAGACGCTACCGTGTCTCTAGATATTAAAATGAGATTGAATCTTCTATTGGATGAATCTGTATTCAATATTTTGTGCTACAAGGATATGTGAACCTGACACCCAACTGCCAAAAAATTAACTTTTTTTTACGGAAAATGATAATTTTATTTCGATTTTAGTGTTAAGTTGTTATAATTTTTTTTCATATATCAATTGATGAAACTACAAACAAAATACTATAATTTTCCGTAAAAAAAGTTAATTTTTTTTAGTCAGGTCCCACGTTCACATAGCTTACAAGGAGACATCGTCTATTGTCCCCCGAATTATTTAATCAAATTTGTTTCATATGTAAAGAAGGAATGTATAACAATCTCTGCAAGTGGGAAGCCGCGACACTATTTCATTATCGAGAAATCAATTTTTAAAAATAGCTAAATTTCGATTGACGATTGTCAACCGTATAAGAGTTCGAGGTATTATAGAAGCAGCGTGGCACAGTCGATAGCGTGCCATGTTGCGAAGACGATCTTTTGCGCTGGAAGCGGTTCGATCCCGGTAGAAGTCACTTATTTCTTTTTTACTTTTTCTTCTGTTTATACCATGTTTTGTTATGGAAACTACATTTTTATATATTAAGATTATTTTTATACAATATCGGACAGGATCCCCGACAGGCGGGCAGCGAGCACACGCTCAAAGAGCTTGCTCGCTTCGTCGAGGTGACAGATCGGCCGATACGCGGAGAGATCGCCCGCGGGCTTTCCCTTCTTCGTGACGTGGACCACCCGCGCCCGCCTCTACTGGAGCGGGACCTGCCCCGACACGACGCGGTTGCGGAGCTCTGAAACCGTCCTCTCCAGCTCCTCCTCCATTCCCGATACCTTCATTCGCTGGGTCTGCTCGACCGCGGCGGTCTTTATAGTCAGCGCCGCAAGCCGAAGCTGGCACACCAGCCAGCCCTTAAGATTGTTCGAGCACTGAGTGACTTTATGGATCGCGTCCAGTGACTCGAAAATCTTTGCCCCCAGTTCGGAGGTGGGCGCGTGGCGCATTTCTGAGGCCAGCTCCCTCTCTTCCCTGAGCAACTTACTGGACTGGACTTCGCGGTCGAAGTCCTGGGTGGAAGTGGGACCATTGAGGGGCCCCCCATGTTGGGCTCCGTCTGAAGCTCAGTCCCCGAACCTGGAGCTCCAGGAGTTGTCGCTTCGTCTCGGCGAGGGCGGAAGAATCACCCGTTGTAGGCGGGCGGCCCCATTTTCGTGCACTCATGAAGGACCCCACGGACGAGGCCGACACAACGGAGCCTGTCGAGGCGTCTGAGTCGGCACCGTTAGCCGTTAGGTCCTCCCCTAACCTTATTCGTCGCCCGGGTCGCAGCCGACGACTCTCCAGCCTCTCAACTCGTACAACGGGTCGAGGGAGAAGGGTGCCATCGCGTGACCCGACGCCTAAAACAGACGCTGCAGCAGAGGTCTTCTCCGCCGCAAACGCCTCCTCATCAGACGCATAGCTGAACCCGGGATCCTGGTGGTCCACCCCGGGGTTCTCCCAGTTGTAGGATAACGACGCGGGGGAGCCTGGTCGACTACTCCTTCCCGGCCGGTACTGGGGGATCTGACGCCCCCTGCGCCATAAACGTTACTTCCGTTCGTGTCCATTATCATTGAGTAAGGTGCCCCATTGCGGGTGGGCACTGTACCCGGAACTCCTTCTCGCTTGCCGTGTCGTCAACAAGAAATCCGTCCTGTTGCTATCTCACCGCCTTCGCCCTCCGCATCCAGCAATTCGGTTCTCGCAAGCGAGCGCCGACTACTGGAGCGGAGACCCAAGAGCCCCACGAGGAGGTGCGGTGAGTGGTCTTGACCAGACGCAGCCCGCCAACTTCGCCGAAATTCCCCGCCCAGGAGGACGCCAAAGCGCCTCTCTGGTGTAAGGGAACATCAGCTAGGTCGTGGTTTTTGACCCGACTTGGAGATTTGTGGAAGAGGCATGGTGACCTCAACCAACTGCCCCAGTGCCAGGAAAGCGTGCGTCCAGCCTCATTCTCCCGGGAGATACCAATTCCCAGCAGCTATCTGACTTGGCGTCAGAGTCGTCTGCGATTTCTACTCCATCCTCAATCTTTGGATCCATTGAAATAAACAGGACTAATCGTATCTTCTTCGATTCTTGAATTCAACCCACTCACAGGGCTCACACGCGCGTCGCTATCGCCCTGGCTCGTAACAACACCATCAAAATCGTCGTTCAAAACCATAAATTTCATCAATTTACGGCAAGCCTATATCTCTAATGGTTTCCGAGATATTCAACAAAGTATGTTCTGCACCCACAACCTTGAGGGTTGATTTCAACCCCTTAATGTGGATAATAGCAGCTAAAAAAAAATATGTGTCGAATGAATTTAGGAGAACTACAAACCCACCAAATTTCATCAAGATTGATCATGTACACTTCGGTATGATCCCTTGTGAGAAGCGTTTAGGAAGTAAGAGAGAACCTAAGCGATTGTTGGATTCTCTCTTCTCTGAAAGAGAAAGTTTTCGTTACAAAAAAAACCATCTGTGCGCGGTTGGGTTTCGTTCCTAGACACTAGTCAAGAGGGTGCAGCTGTGTCC